CCCGCCCCACTTAGGTAGCATTCTTTACTTTAACAAATGTTATATTCTTGGATTTCTATAATAAGTGGTTGGATAGAATTGGTTTATTCAGTTAAATCTGAGGTCTATTTCCTTGTAATGAGATTTAACATTATGCTTTCAGAATCCTTTCCGGCCTGTTGCTTTTTTGGGAGTGGGGATGGAGTCACTGAGCCCACGTGCAGTGTTAATTGCATACCCGTAAAAATTTATTTAAAACAGTTTGTTTCCTTGATTTGCTAAATACATATTTACTCCTATTCAATTTTTTTTTAAAATAATAAAGATTCGCGTCAAAATGTGTTGCATATTAATTTACTCCGCCTTCACCTTGCGTTATGCAGGTTGGCCTGGTAAGACTATTTGCAAGCTCCAAGGATTCTTAACAAGCTGGACCATAAATGCCGCCATCTTGACGCTTGCGTTGATCGCTGCTGATCGATTCCTCGCTGTATTTTTCCCTCTGCGAAGAGCAATCGATTCTCGTAAAGCAGTCCGGCTAATAATCACCATGTGGCTTCTCCCAGCAATATCAAGTTCTATCTTTTTTTACGTCAATGACCTCGTTGAATACAGAGAAAATATATACTGTGTCGAGATATGGGAACCAGCCATCCCAATGTACTATAATACAATCTACACCACAGCCGATTTCGTCATGTTTTATGCTCTGCCCCTGTTGGAAATCATCATTCTTTACACCGCCATCATCTACAGGATATGGATGCGAAGGATTCCAGGGCACGTTACCACAGCCAATCAACAAGTAGAACTCAAAGCCAAAAAGAACGTCCTTAAGATGCTCATCATAGCTGTTCTTACGTTCGCACTATTCTGGCTTCCGGTTAAAATAAATGTTATGTTGGGGCTTTACGGCCGTTCTTCCTGCGTGTTTAGTCCTACTCGTCACTTCCTGGCACTCTTTCTGGCATGTGGTAACTGTATGATAAATCCAATTATCTACATTGTATTTAGCCGGGATTTTAGAAACGGTTTCAAAGCTCTCTGCCACTGCCTCCCCTGCTTTTCTGCTGATGTTCCATGTGTGCGCAGTCAGACCAGGGATGTGAGCGAGATCAGCTTCTCTGTAAAACCCAGTGGTCCCAGCATTCTTAGCCTGACGAAATTTAAGAAGATTGACGACTAGTAGGACTTCAACTCGCAACTCCTGAAAAGCTATCAACGAATTGAATGAATTATATCCATTCTGTATTTTGGATTATTATATGGCGGTGTCTCACAAGGACTGGGAAATACCGAATTCACGAGTTTGATTGGCTGAGATCAATATTGAAAGCGGTCTAGATTTTCCCATCTAGACCGGTCTAGAGAAAAAAAAGTACAAAGAATATAAAAAATTGGCATATAAGACACAGCCATATTATAAACATCTTATTAACCGAGCTAGGTCAGTCTGTATGGGAGAATCTTGACCTCGGTCAAGCTTCTCCCATACAGAACTAATTATTATACAGGAAAACAGTCACATTCTGGGAGGTGTGAGGTAGAAGTCAAAGTTCACATTGTGATCGCACTTTACAGTGGTTCGCTTTGTCGGAGTTCAACTCTTTACTTCCTTGTACTTTTTCTCTGCAATATCAGCTGTGCAATAAACCCATTAATCTACGTTGTATTTAGTCAGGATTTCAAAAACGGCTTTAAGAATATCTGCCAGTGTTTCTTGACTATCCTTCCTGATGATCTCCCTCGTGTGCGTAGCCACTCCGTGGATTTAACAAAGAATCCACATTCTGTAACACATCGTTATCTTGAGCCAACGGTATCTACGAAGGTTGACTTTGAGTAAAGTCAAGGAAATGTCGGAATTAGCAAGTCGAAGGTGCCTGGCTAGGGGCTAGACATGATTGGCTAATACACAATATTAAGTCAGTTTGGTTCCATGATAACATTAAAAGTAAAACTGTTAACTCAGATAAACGAGGACTTGGCTTTCGGTTACGAAAATACATGTATTTCTGTCAATATCTCAGTTGTAGCGATAAAAGTTCTGAAGCAGCTTATCAGGTTAGAACGATGAAAAGATTGAAAGAAAAAGATTTTGAATGTCAAATACAAAGTTAAACCCAATTTTTTTTCAAAATGGTTTTGCCTAAAAATGTTAATAAAATTTTTTGGAGTAAGACTTTAAACATCAACGCCTCATTCGTGTACTGTTTTTGGCCCCAGCCAAAGTCTCGAGCTCACGTTCTCAATCACTCATCAGCATAATGGAATTAGCCTTTGTGAGAACCAGTTTCCAAAGGAATAATATTTGTTTGCAGAGATGACATCTCCAAGGTTAATATATTGTCCCGCTTTAGGCCAATGACTTAACTTTGGATGAATGCAAATTAAATGTAATCTTGAATTTTCGTCGCATTTTCGTCGCATTTTAATCTTAGGGCTGGGAAATATAGCTTTTGTTCCTATTAGATAGATATCATTATCTAATCTGGATTCTATTGGTCAGCACACCTTTAACCGCGAACACGTGATTATCCATATGTTTATCATTGTACATTAAGTTCATAAGTATTGTAATAAGGCAGTTGTGTAGTGCACTTGGTCTGTGCACGCGTTGCTCTATAGTAGTATACGTTGAACCCTAATATACAACCCCAGTTCAGAAGACTGCATGGAACACATATTGCGAACGTTTCAAACAATACGTGATCGCGAACGAAATTAAGGACGAAAAGAAGGCAGTGGCCACCTTCCTGACTTCGATAGGCAGCAACACCTACAACGTTTTGAGAGATTTGCTAGCCCCGGCAAACCCATCTAGTGTAAAGCTGACAGATTTGGTGGTAACTTTACGAGATCACTATGAGCCAAAGCCGATCGTCATCTCTGAACGCTTTCACTTCCACAAGCGCGAACAGCTCGAAGGGGAAGGTGTGGCGGCGTACATTGCAGTCCTAAAGAAGTGTTCGGAACATTGTGCCTTCAGCTCCTTTTTAGAGGAAGTCCTTAGGAATCGATTCGTCTGTGGCCTGAGAAGCAGACAAATTCAGAAAAGACTCCTAGCTGACAAAAGTCTCACGTGGAAGACAGCAGTAGAAATGGCGTTGACGGTAGAAGTTGCTGATAAGCAAGCTAACAACTCTAGGAATTCCCCCGCAAATAGTGGCATACATTACATGAAGTCATCGCATCCGCCAAAAGTGATAAAGCCAAAGAGACCGTGTTTCCGTTGTGGCGAGGACCACATCCCGCAGAAATGCCGATTTAAGGAAGAATTTTGTCGGAATTGTAATCAAAAGGGCATATCGCCAAAGTTTGTAAGAAGAAAGCACCCACATCCTCAGGTGGTTACGCCCATGGATCACGTCCGAATCAAGGTGCGAGAAGACAACCAGTTCGATATGTGAAAGACGATACCCTTCCGAAAGAGCTAAACGACGAATATAAACTTTTTCACCTTCATCAGGAAAAGTCTAAACTATCCACTATGGTTCCTGTAAAGGTGAATGGTGATAACATGTCGATGGAGTTGGACACTGGTGGGTCAGTTTCCATCATTTCCGAAGAGGCGTGGAGAAGGCGGTTCCCGAAAGTTCCATTAAAGTCATTAAATGAGTCCCAAATTAAGTCGAAGACTTACTTAGGAGAAACCCTCGAAATCATTAGACAAGCACTGTTTGAAGTTATCTATCAAGACCAGACCACCATGTTACCGCTCCAATTCTCAAAGGGAACGGACCAAGCCTCTCTAGAAGGAACTGGCTTAAGAACATTAAGTTAAATTGGAGAAGATAAGTTGTGATTTAGATAACGTGTTACCTAGACATCATTCAGTATTTAAGGATGAGTTAGGTACTGTGCAAGACGTTAAAGCTAAATTATTGGTTAAGCCCGAATCAAAACCGAAGTTTTTCAAACTGCGCCAAGCTCCGTATGCTTTAAAAGGAGCCACTGAGCAAAAATTAGATCGGTTAGAAAACATAGGAGCGATCGAAGAGGTGCGCTACTCAGAGTGGAAGGCACCGATAGTTCCTGTCGTTAAACCAGATAATTCAATTAGAGTTTGTGGGGATTACAAAGTCACCCTCAATTCCGTTTTGGAGGTTGACCAACACCCATTACCAAACCCCGAAGAGTTATTTGTTAAATTAAGTGACCAACAAATTCTTTTAGACGAGGATTCAAGGGAGTCTGTAACCATAAATACTCACAATGGTCTATGTAGACCCATAAGCCTGGTGCCTTCTTGGGTCTCCTCGTCTTCTAACCGTTATCGCTGTAATTAAATATTTTTATTGTTAAAATAAGGCAAATAAAAGATTCGTTTACCTTTTGGGGTATCCTCTGCGTCGGCTATCTTTCAATCAAAAATTGAGCAAGCACTACAGGGTATACCGATGGTCGTTTGTAGAGTAGACGATATTTATATATCGGGGAAAAATGATCAAGAGCACTTGATTAATCTGAATGAGGTTTTAGCTAGGTTGGGAAGCGCTGGCTTGAGGTTAAAATTTAGCAAATGCAAATCCATGCAGCCTACCGTTGAATATCTTGATTAACGAATAGTTGCGCAATGAATGCATGCGATCGAGAAAAAGGTCGTAAATCAGCATCAGTTGAGGTCATACCTGGGAATGATCAATAATTTTTCTAAATTCATCTGTAATTATTCGGCTATCACCCATCCGTTAAATGAATTACTGAAAGACGAAGTCGAATGGTCTACAGATCAATCAGCAAAAGACGTTCGATTAACTCAAGGACAAATTGTCCAGCGCGTCCGTTTTGACACATTTTGACGAGAAATTGCCGTTAAAACTCGACTCAGGTACCTCACAGTATGGCATCGGCGCAGTAATCTCGCACGTTTTGCCTTCTGGGGAAGAGCGACCGCCTATGCTTCGAGTACGCCAAAAGCGAGCGTAATTACTCGCAGATAGAAAAAGGAGCACTTAGCATAATATTCGAAGTTTCACTAATACTTGTGCGGAAGAAATTTCTTTTAGTCACGGATCACAAACCGTTAACCACATTGCTAGGACCGAAAAGCGGTATCCCAACTTTCGCAGCCGCACGATTACAAAGATACGATATCGAGTATCGTTCGACGACAAAAAATGCAAACGCCGATTGTTTATCCCGTTTGCCGATACAAAGCGACAAAGTAAACGAAGAAGTCGATGAGGTCAGATCCATCAACCACTTGCAAACTGAGTCTGCTACTTCATTGACATTCACCTGCCGATGAATGTCGATCAAGTTCGCAAGGCGACACGAACCGACCCAATTTTGTCGAGAGTACTACAGTACATGATGACAGGTTGGCTAGATAAACAAATAACACCGGAAATCACACTGTATTTCAGCAAACGTCACGAAATTACAGTCGAAGATGGTTGTTTATTGTGGGAAATTCAAGTCATATCCCCGCCAACTTCGCGAACGTGTGTTATATGAATTATACACTGGGCACTCAGGTATTGTCCGTATGAGGTTACTCGCGCGACTTCACGTTTGGTGGCCTAATCTCGACAAAGATATAGTCACGGTTGTATGGAAATGCAACAATTGTTAGAAATCAGGCAACAAGCCCCAACCGGCACCCTTACACCCGTGGGATTGGCCTAAACTGCCGTGGCAGAGATTAGAGTGCATATGGATTTTGCAGGTCCTTTTATGGATAAAGTGTTTCTAATCGTCGTCGATAGTCACTCAAAATGGTTGGAGGTAGAAATAATGCCTAGCATCGCTAGTGAAGCGACAATCACAAGCTTCGTGATATGTTTGCTCGATATGGCATTCCACAGCAACTCGTGAGTGATAACGGTACACAGTTCACTTCGAGAATGGCAACGATGAGGATACACACGCAGCAGTGAAAGCGCAACCTCAACTTCAAACACGCTATCCAACTCGACAGCGTAAAGCACCGCAACACTTAGTATTCAATACACAATTATTAAAGTAATTGATTAGCAAGCCTTTGAAATAAGTGTGGGGGGAATGTAGTGTTTGTTCCTATTGGATAGAGACCTAAATAAATAATAAATAATTTAGCAATGGACATTCCACTGGGTGGCTCTTCTTGTCCACTGTTTCCAGATCGAATTGGAATTTGGAATGTTGGTTTTTGCGTAGAGAGGAAAACCAGAGGACCCGGAGAAAAACCCTCGGAGGAAGGACGAGAACCAACAACAAACTCAACCCACAGGGTACGCCAGGTCCGGGAATCGAACCCGGGCCACAGTGGTGGGAGGCTAGTGCTCTCACTACTGCGCCATCCCTGCTCCCCTGCGCCATTTCTGCTCCCCTATTACATAATCGGAATTCTATTGGTTAGCACACCTTTAACCGCAGTCACGTGATTATTCACATATTTATCATTGAAAATTAAGTTCCATGAGTATTCTATTAAAGTAGTCGTGTAGAGCACTTGTTCTGTGCACGCGTTAAAGCATACCTCGAACCCTAACATTCAACCCCAGTTCGGAAGACTGTCACGCATACTGCGAACTTTTCGAACAATACGTGATCGTGATACGTGATCGCGAACGAAATTACCTACTAATTTCACAAGTCTTCGTTTAGTTATACTTACTTCCTGTCACTAGCAGATGGTCTGATCCCGGATCTTCTTTGAATCGAAAAATTCATGGATACCGTGACATGAAAGAAAAAAAAAAAAATTAAAGGATGCTGATTGAACGAATATATTTCCGGAAACTTACAGCAGTGTTGTAAATACCCGGTATCATTTCATCTGGTTCTCGATAAAGAAATCTGAAACTAATATACCTCCAGCACGTATAATGTGCTTGCATCCTCTTTCTCGTTAAAATAAGATAAAACAACCATGTATTTGGCTACATATCCTTAGAACAAAGACTTCCTGGGGCAAAAGTCACTCTCTCTGGAGCTTTCTCTTAACTCAATAAAACTGTTCTAAACAAGTCGTTCATATTTGGATCGAGTTCAAACACAACCTTAAACTGATCCTAATACTTTGTGCTCGAAATCAAAACGTAATCTGCGATGACTTATTTTTCCTAAAACGTTATAAATCTAGGAACATTTGTAAGGACGTTTGTGGAGCGACTTCTCCAACTTGACAGTTAATTCAACTAGCGTACTTTGGTCCGATTCGGCTAATGAAAAGTCAGTTGGCTTTTAACCCGCGACCAATAGCATTGACCCTGAGTTAAAAATCACCGACTGTTCCGTTAAATGTAATAATAGATATGCCGTTATTCTAAAGTTACACAAAAAACTTAATTAGATTGACTGATCTTGCCGGAAAGTTCGATTATTAAGAAAATATCTCTATTGATGCAGCCGTTGGGTTTGTAAATTTCAAGCTCTTTAAGAATACTAGGAATGGCTGTAACCTCTTTTGAGCTGGGAACCTCGGAAGGAAACTTCTACGACAGATGTTATTCTAGTTTGATTATCTCAGTTGCGTCATTATCTTTTGACGAGAGGCATGTAAGTGGGATGGTATTATTAAACTTGCCAAAGTGTTCCGGCTCTGAAGGGCCCAGTAATTGTTGTCGGTGCTTTTCATCCATTCTCCCGTCAGAATACGTGACGTGTTTTAAAATAACAGAAAGAACTGCTTCACGTCAAGCGGATATTTATCTCACCATTTCTTCGTTTTACCTCCAAATTTTACTTTTTTTTAACCCCCCTGTCATCTGTATCTGAAGCTATGGCGTCTCTGTGTTGTAAATTTAACACATTTCTGATCGGTCACCAAGGATAACATATTTACAGAAAAGAAGTCCATGGTAGCACACGAAAGAAGACAGTGCTTTCATTGCATATGTAAAGCGCATATTACAGTGACGTTTATAAACTTGGTGCATGGTGTATTTACTTTTTGTTGTCATCCAAGCATGTTTCCTTTTTTTCGAATTAAGAAAAAAAAGGAGGAAGCAAGATTTCTAATTCCCTATTGATGCCGTAAATTGAGCCATGAAATGGTGATTTCTGATCGCAAAATTTATACATTTATAGCTTTCCCTTCCGTTTCCAACCGTACCATTTACTTTAGAACCAAATATTGTACTGTCGGCTGTCCAATAAGAATCGCTTCTCATCGCAAGATTGGAACGTTTGTTTGTACTTATGCCGTTTACGATAATGGAAAACACGGCGCGAATTACTATTTTAATCTCCAACTCTCGAGAATTTGATTAATATAACCCTGATAACTAGCTTATATTGATTTAGTTTACATCATTTTCCTTTACTCCGGAGAGAAGCAAACTCAGATGCCACGGCGCCGAAATGTAAGTTGATCTCTGTTTAAACGTCAAAAGAGGCCTGACAGTGTGTAAGTAATCCTGAAATTGTCACAACAGAAAGGTGACGAAGCGGAACATCATCCTCGTGATCCACTACTTTGAACTGACCGATAAAGCTCTTTGTTCCAGTCTGTTTTCTTCCACTGAGGTGAGAAAGATAGTATCATTAGTTTCCAGGGAATGATGAATAAAGCATTTGCTTCTAGAGCCGCTTCACACGGCAGTTGGATTTCGGCAAATGAAAAAATTAAACGTGTCACTCGACCCGGCGTACTGAGTTTTCTACGAGTTCAGCCGTTTTAGATAAAATGGTTCCAGGGCGTAGGTTTATAACGTGAGATGAATTGACGAAGTTTCCGCAGTATATCTCAAACTTACTCTTCAGGAACAGCTCTCTAATTCAAGTAAAAAAAATATCTGTGTACAGGGCTTATTTCAATTAGCTTTCATTTATTTCAAGATGAAGATACGCTGTTGAAATGGTCTATCACGACGTAGATCAGTTGAACGTTTCCGTGCAATGCCTCAGTCACGTTTCGATATCGGATATTGATATAAACTAGTCCTGACTCAACAAGATGGTGGAGCAAAATTAAAGAAACGTTAAAGGAGGCCGGCAATCAAAAATATTGCAAAGCAGATTTTTCTAGCATTTAACGCTAAGATTTGGCTCGACACAAGTATTGCCATGAAAGAGAAAATCGAGAGGAAGTTGTTCATGCTGAAAATAATTTGTGTGAGGTCAGATTCTAGAGATAAGCCTTTGAGATGCACTTCCTGTTGGGTTTTTTCATAGTTAATCGAGGGGAGCAAAATGGAGAGGACAATACCATTTCAGGCATTAATTTTGGCGAACCTTTGTTGTTCCTTATCAGCTTATCGCTGATAGCAAGTCTATGTAATGCTTTAAATTTTCTGCTACTTTATTTAGGAAGCTATTTAGTTAAGATTGTTAAGGCCGTGAAGTAGTGTTATTGCCATCTCTTTTCTGAGAAGAAGATCCAAAGCAGTGCTCTTGAGGTGATTTATCAGTGTGTTTTTTTTGTTTTGTTTTTATCATTTTCATTTCAATTCCTTTTCTTTTCGTATTTTTTTTCCAATTTTTCATCCACGCAGTGCGCTCACGCACTTACTGCCAACTTTTATTTTGCTTTGATCAGTCGCACATTTGTTTTGTGTATAGTTCGCCAACTCATTTTTCAGCAAGTCAAAATGGCCTGTCTCGTCGTTAAAAAAATTCTTTTCCTTATATCTATGTCATACAGACTGCAAATATTTTCAAGCGAAAAGTATTCTAGATATTTTCGACTAGTGTACCATTTATGATAATGAACTGTGTAATGTAGAAAACGTACTTGTCTCGATGTCAAAGTAATTAATACAGACGTCTACGCTTTTCCTTTTTCTTGCATTGAAAAGACATTTTGACACATATTTCCTTGATCCTTAATCTCGTAGACAAAAAAAGGAAAATTAGTGAAGAAGATGACGTTGGAAGAGTTTATATGTGTCAAACCATGTCTGCGCGACAGGTTAATATTCTTTCAAGTCAAAATTGTAAGAGGTATCGTTTGGATAGCACAAAATTATGTACTGGTTTCAACGGAGAACTAAATCCTTCATCCCAGTTAAAATAGTTTCATATAAAATTTTGATCATAAATGAAACTTGACGAAGACCTTTGACTATCAAAAAATTTAATACTATTATCCTAGGTAAAAGACAATCAATTTAAAAATGGTTCGTGTGGAAGATTTTTTGAAACTTCCGAAAGATTCATTGTCGTCGTAAGTGGTTCATAATTCAATTGTACACATAGATGTATGGAAAAATGATAAAATTTGGCCTAACAGACATGATAAGGGTAGACCACATTAAAACTGCAGTACGAACACTTTTGGGGGGAATGTCGAGGTTTCAACTTGGATCTTAAATTGAAAACTCAGCAAGCCATTGTGAGTCTGTGATGGAAGGTGGCCAATTCGTTCTTGCCTTACCAGGAGTTACACTTGGGCTCTTAATTTCAGCATCAACGATTTTATTCCTAAAAGGTTATAAGCATAATAATGTTACATGGGTAAAGGAACAAGTTAGTTGCCGGAACCATCCAACCAGATATTTGAACTGTTACTCTGCGGTCTTGGAAAAGTTCACGTTCTATAACTCACGGCGTGATGAAGCTCAATAATTATGCTGCTTAAAGTACTGTTGTTATTTCATTTGTTATATGTATTTTTTTCTTAGTTAAAGCTATGGCGTCCAACAACACTAGTTCCTGCCCTGACCCTGGGTCAGATCTCACTAAAGGAGAAGCAGCAGAGGTCGCTAAAGCAGCTGCATACCTGTGTATTTTCATTCTGTCAACAGTAGGAAACCTTCTCGTGGTGGTGATCATGTTAAAAGACCACCATCTACGATCGGTCGCTATCAATCAGTTTATTGTGTCTATGGCGATTGCTGACTTGTTGACATCTTTATTTAACATGACGATAGAAATCTGGATCCACATCAAATATTCCACAGGACAGCAAGTTTTCTGGTTAGACGGAGCTGGCGGAGTCATTCTATGTAAGACTATTGTATTTGTTCAGGGTCTCTCCATGGCTTGCTCTGTCCTAACACTTGTCGCCATGGCTGTAAATCGGTATATTGCTGTCTTTTTTCCACTCAAAATGGGCACCACTAAATCTCTGTCTACCCTAACTATAGTCATTATTTGGGTGATCTCCACGGTCAGCGCGTCACCAATGTTGTACGCTATGAGAGTTATCGAGAAACCAGATGGCACCTTACACTGTACCGAGGATTGGACTCCTGCATTTGACGGTGAGAAGTCTCACAGGAACTATACCATCTTTCTGCTAACTATAATGTACGCGTTACCTCTTGTTGCTATCACCATGCTGTACACAGCCGTTGTTCGGAAGGTTTGGAGGAGGCAAGTGCCAGGAAACATCACTGCCCCAAATCAGTTGGTGGAGCATGTCACAAAGAAACGCGTTCTCAGAATGCTCATCACAATTGTGATCGTCTTTGGACTCTGTTGGCTTCCATACTACACTTACCTGTGTCTGCTCTTTATCCTTCATGGCTGCCCGCCTGAGTACGTTTCATTCTTAGGTCTTTTCCTCGGTCATGCAAATTCCGCTATTAATCCATGTATTTACGCCATCTTCAAGAAAGAGTGTCGTGTTTCTCTGAGGGGTGCTAACGGGGCATGCCTTCCCACTATTCATGGAAGTCGCGTACCAATGATGACAACAAATCAGAACACCGTGAGACAGTCCGATTTGGGTTTCGAAGAGACAACACGAGAACAAGAACGACGAGCCCCTCTGATCCGTGAGATAAAGGAAATGGAGGAGATATCGCGGTCATCCTTAAGGATGTCTCCATTCAATTCCTAAAGCTATTTACAAGTAAAGTTCACGCGTTTACCATACGAGAACAGTTCTTTTCCATTAGAATGTACAAATTAATCATGTATTTACTTAGGAGAAGGGGACCTGTTCCAGGCAATCAACCTTATTTGAAGAGGAATCTCAAATGGATTGAAATTTGCGACCTCCACGATAATAGAACAATATTTATTTTATTTATCTGAGCACGAATGGCATCGCGTTATGGAGTCTTTTACTCGGGTCCTGTCAACAATCTATCACGGGTCCCAGCGAGAAATGAAATTTCAATTCAATATCGAAAAAAAGAATAAAAAGACAAACATGTATTTCTGGTTGTTTAATAAAAAGGTAGTCTATGGAAATAATACGCCTTTAAGAGCGACTTTCTGTAAATACCACGGATAGGTGTGCAAGATGGAAAAATTGAAATCTCCCAAACTTTGTCACATTAAAGCCCTTATGAAACTATTTTAGAAAATACAAGATTCAGTTTCTTGTGATTAATATTTTCCAAACAAATGTTTTTTTGAATTTTCACTTCCGAGAGGCCCTTAAACCACCGAAAAATGTGCTTCGCATCCTCGCGTGGTGAATAGAAACGGAATCAAGTACCATGAATACCATGAGTACCATGAATACCATGACTATTACTATATAAGATGATTTTATGACCCTTCCTTTGTAAGAAAACGTTGTGGTAATTTCAAAATATTCCAATCTGAATTTCTTATTTTTTTTTCAAAATCGCCCTCTAAAACAGTTTCATCGCGACTATCAATTTTGCCATTTTTCAACGGTAAAAAAACCCTTCCTGGTACATGGCTTTTGTTGTGTAAATGCTATTCCAGAGAAAGTGCAATCTTTCTTCTTTCAGTATATGAAATAAAATTTTGGGGCAATTCAAACAGCAAGTTTTAAGAACTGAAAACATCAACGGTACTTGCGTAAAATTTATAACTTTTGAACTTGCGGTTGAAATGACGAATACAAGTAGTACAAGAATGAACTTGGACAGAAGTTAAAATACTTCGAGAATTCGATCCTTTTCCACCAGTTCAAAACCAAGACAAACGATTATGACTTCGTAGTTTCAGTTATAATTATCTAAAAGGAAAAGCATTTTTATTGTGCGAAATTGAGCTGTAAACCTCATGACCGGCAACACTTCCCGTACCTGCGTATTTGTTTACTTTGAAGCCTGGCTTGTAACAGTTATCTAAATATGAAAAGTATTCATCAAAATGTTCGCATTTCGTCTGAAAGAAATCGTACAAGCAAAATGATGGCAGAATAGGACAAACACTTACTCACCTCATATACATACATTGTTGAAAAAAGACCAAAATCCCTCAGCTAAACTAGATTGGGTGACATCCTCTTTGACTAGACCCAGGTAAGGGGGTGGGGTGGGGAGGGAAGGGGGTTTGGCTTTGGCTTGGGCTTGGGTCCAAAGCAGACAAAAACATTCCTTAGTAAATCCCATAATTGCTAAAAGAATGCTGTGTAGGCTTTTCGAAAAAAAAAAAAAGACAGCAACAACAAATAAAATCAATCTTGGGACAGGAACCGATCTCCTGTTGGGAATTAAAATAGTGACGCTGATTAATCTCAACGCGGCAACCCTCGTGTGTAAAAGGATATGCAGCTTTACAGTAATTTTATTTAGTTATCTCAGATAAAGGAAAATAAACTTTGTGTCCCGAACATGTGCTTGGTCTCGTCACGGCGCATGCGCTAGACCATTGCGTAAGCTCAGCTAATGTAACATCGTGCAGACAAGAAAACATAGCGCTTAGGTCTCGGTCCTCTACCTTGTCATCTTAATGTTGTTCACCAGTCTCTTGTAAACTGGATTTTGGCTGATTGACCGCCTGAGATACTTCTGCAAAGTCCCCTGAGGAAAACTGGCGCTCAAAGCTGAGCGGCTGAGAATAATCTGGAACTAAAAGACCAAATGAAAACGTAATTAAATGACACAGGTGTTTGCTCCGCAAATGGATAGTGTTTTTTTGGTTGTTGTTTTTGTTGTTTAGGGTTAATTCACACGAGGGATAAGTAATAGGTGGTAAACTAGACTGTAGAGCATGAGTATAACTTTAATAAGAGAAAAAGAGTTTATTTTCCCAGTGTGCCTTTCTTGTCCACTGTTTTTCTTTTGTTTTAAAAAATTTTCATGCCGTGGACAAAGCGTGACGGCAACATAGAACCGTTTACTTAACGGTTTTAAAGCATCGCTATTCTTTAAAAAATCACTTATTGTATGTTTCTTATGGACAAGGTCAAAGTATCATACCATGATAAACTACTATGTGAGTGAAGTGTTGTCAAGAGGTTCAATTTACAGCTCAATTTTGCACAATAAAAATGCTTTTCCTTTCAGATAATTATAATTGAAACTACGAAGTCATAATCGTTTGTTTAGTTTTTGAACTGATGGAAAAGGATCGAATTCTCGAAGTATTTAAACTGCTGTCCAAGTTCATTCTTGTACCACTTGTATTCGTCATTGCAACCGCAAGTTCAAAAGTTCTAAATTTCACGCAAGTACCGTTGATGTTTTCAGTTCTCAAAACTTGCTGCTTGAATTGAATTGCCCCAAAATTTTATTTCATATATTGAAAGAAGAAAGAATTCTCTCTCTCTGGAGTAGCATTTACACGACGAAAGCCATATACCAGGAAGGGTTTTTACCTTTGAAAAATGGCAAAATTGATTGTCGCGATGAAACTGCTTTAGAGGGCGATTCTGAAAGAAAATTAAAAATTCAGATTGGAATCTTGAAATTACCACAACGTTTTCATGCCAAGGAAGGGTCATAAAATCATCTTATATCGCAATAGTCATGGTATTCATGGTATTCGATTCCGCTTCTATTCACCGAGCGAGGATGCGAAGCACATTTTTCGGTGGTTTAAGGGCCTCTCGGAAGTGAAAATTCAAAAAAATTATTTTTTTGGAAAACATCAATCTCAAGAAACTGAATCTTGTATTTTCTAAAATAGATTCATAAGGGCTTTAATGTGACAAAGTTTGGGAGATTTCAATTTTTCCATCTTGCACACCTACCCGTGGTTTTACAGAAAATCGCTCTTGATAGTCAATCAATACTATTAGAATTAATGCAGACAAAACAGTGAAATTTCCTTCGAAGTCTTCGGGGTTTCTACCACATTTAGCCAAAGATATGCTCAACAATAAAACGGGAGAAGTATCGGCAATGGCGTCCCCAAGACATTGAATAAGAAAATCTAGAAATAGCAGATCTTCGCAAAGAAAGAGGCGAATTTTTTAGATCTAAGTAAAAAACGTCGAGGAAAGGTATAAGCACTGTTCGTTTTCAGCATTGTGTCTCTGACTCGGTTTCCGGGATTATTTTCAACGTAAATGCGTGGACGATCGATGATCTGCTTTTTCACATAATAACTTTGAAAAGTCACTGAGTTAGTGATCTTGGGAATCTCTATACAGGACCTGATAACCTCTTTAACTTTCTGGAACTAAACCATGTTACGCTGCGTGAAATCAATTCGCCATTATCTTAGTTTTGGAAACTGCTTTCATCGTTGTTTGAATAGGAAGAGCGTTGATAAGAATTTGCATAATTAGAAGGTTTCAGAAGTGGAGTGCATATCGATCTACCTCGTCCAGCAGAGTCTTTCAGTCTGTGTATCGCTTGATTTCTTCTCTTACCCTCAGTCTCTATCTTTAATTCCCTGTTTCTTTTTCCGTTCTTTTTTCTTCTTTTTTTTTTTTGGTTGGGGGGGGGGGGGGGGGGGGGGGTGGATCAAACACGTCTAGATGGGGCAATTTTCAGAACTTTATCAAACGATTAATGCATAATAATTCTTTTCACTACTATATTAAAAAAAAAAAAACCATTGTTGGCAATATTTCTGATACTCTTTTGTATTTTTTTCTCACAAGTGGCATGGTTAGTCACCAAACTTATGTTCATCTGATCCGCCCTTCCAACCTGGGTCCATAGAGATCATTTTTCAACTCATGCTACTAAGTTTCGCAAGCACGTGATCATTCCTTTCGCTAATATCCGTGAGAATCATACGTAAAGACTCATGATTCGCTTTGCAAACGTATCATTTTGGAACAGCAATTAGCAAAATTGATGAAATTCTCTGACTCTCGGAGTGACATTGCTTTTCTGACTCTGGCTCGCTTAGTCTGTCTGTCTCCCATGCAGACAAACAGACGTTTTTTCCTTAACTGTTATAATATTAGTAGGACGGAAAGAGATACTTAAACTCTTCGTTCGAGCTGCAGCACCGTTCCCCTTCTCTTAATCGTGAGTAGAAATAGGAAATGTGATTATGAGTTTGCGATCAAAATGATTTCTGTTGTACAAAGCCCTTACGCAATTCGCTTCGCACGCACTAAGAATCATGCGACAAAGATGACAAGATCTACGAGCCCGTACATCGAAATGTCTTTGCACAACCAATCACGATGTTAGAAAAAAGGCTGAACCCTTACTATTTATTGAGGCTTTGATTTTTCTTCACGGTAACATCAATCCATTACGTACATTGCTGGTCTTCACATGGGAAAATAAACAATCCTAAAATAAACATCAATTGTTTCTGAGAACTTCAAATAGTCTTGCAATACATGTACACTTATTTCCATATCTGGCTCATCTGCCTAAAATTCACTTCGTTTTTGGTGGGAGAAAACCGGTTTTTAATTATTACATCAGTCATCGGTCAATTCAAAAGATATTTTCTCTTAAACATAACACTTTCATCGATAGTAACGACCAATCGAATTATTGCCCCAGTATATTTCCAAGCCTCTAAAAAAATAGTTTTCAGCGAAATATATTTTTAGAAGAATGAGTGGGTATGGTTACAGCATAGCAGCACGAAAAAACACGAAAATAAATAACTGAAATGTTCCCAATCTAAATATTGGTATATATATATGATTTTAGTAATAATTTCTGCTGTTTCATTTTCCGTGTTTTTGTATTTAATCTTTGTAGTTTAAGGATGACTGCAAGCTTTAAATAGCGCTGTGATTTATTGCAATTTGTCAAGCCTGCAAACAATTCTTCGCAGCCGTTGAAAAAACTTGTGGTGATTTTCTTTCAATTATTTACATCAGTCGTTACAGTATTTATTTTCGGAGTACAAAATATAACTTTATTCAATGCGCTTTACTTTGCCAAAATTGACCGCGTTAAGCGGAAAAATACAATGACTTCTATACATCAGCTCTACTAAACTGATGTGATTTTAATTTGCGGCACTTGCGTGTAGGAAAAACTCGCGAAAGATTTACTTTGTGCATTGTTACCGCACTACAGTGTACAAATACAGGGATTTTCGTTCATATTACGTATCACATAAAAGTTTGTAATATGGTATAGATGTCCTTAATTGCTATTTACTTTTTAAGCGAAAATTAATACTGAGGCCATATTTTTTATGCTGCTCATATCTGACAAAGTTACAAAGCTCAAGAACACGAAGAATGAAAGATGTACATCAGAAGCTCGTTTAATTGTTATTAAAAGCGGAAAGAAATATATAATTAAGACTTCTTGCCATATTCTTTGGAATCAAATAATAAAGATTTATCTTATGTCAGGAGGGTTCGGTCCAATGTCAAGAGACTGTCGGAAGAAATATAAATAAATTTTTAGTCCTCTTTAAGCTTATCTTGGTTATAAACGCAGCTGCTGGGGAAGATTGCAGTTTTTATCTCAAAAGGGGGTCAGGCAATCTTTGCAATGTAATAGGTGTGCACTCAGTGATACAGTACGTGTGAATATAGGCAATATAACTTTTCACTTGAAAAGAAATTTTGTTTTATGCTTTTCTCAAAAGTCGCTTGCCAAGCCGTCTCGAGCATAATTTATGTTCTAGCTTTCGACCACTGAAACAACAAATGTCACCGTGATATAAACCAAGGCAGATAGGTTAACCCAAAGTAAAGGAGCTGAAAAGGTCCTATCAGTTTGCATGGTTTTCAATTTCACACTTCAATACAGACTGTTATCTGTGGACTGTATTGATTTTCTACTGAGAAGAAGAATCTAACTACAACAAGGTTTCTTGAGCCTATCTACAGCTTCGCCAGTTCAAAGGTAAGCGAACACGTAGTCTTCATTTGTTCCATGTGAGACGTAACGCGGAAAACAAACTAAAGTTCTACGTTTTACTCTCTCATTTAGTTCAAATTAGAATGTTTGCTTCTTTCCTGAATCACAACCAGTTTTCCTCTCTAATGGCAGTTTTGCCTCTCCCCGCGCCATTTCAGATCTTATAATATCACGGGCTAAATTTTACCGCAAACGATGATTTGAAGTTTATTTGAAGCTTTGTGAAAGATTATTTAAAAATATATTCGCGTGAACTATATTACATCTTAATAATTAGAATTTTTTAGGGATCAAAGGAAAGGTTAGAAGGAGTCATAAGAGGACGACCTTCTGAATTCTCAATAAGTTTGGTTGTTCGTGGATTTGACTTTGAACAGCAAAGAAAAAAAAAGAAAAAAAAGTAACAATTTCAGGTAACCCCTCAACCCGTAAACAGTTTCATAAGCCTTTCATCACCTCCTGTGCTTTGTTACGTTAATCTCAGTATAAATAATAAGAAAATCTGTTATTGTACATCGAGGGGATGAACGCCTTAAGGGTTCAAAAAAAAAAAAAAAACTACTGGTGTTATTTTCATCACACACAGGCAAACTGGTTTGTCTTTCAAACGCTTTGTAAAAGTAGTCACCTACTCATTCGTTGCTGTTTAAGCAAAGACATCCGATCTGTATGCTTTCGAGAGCATTTCAGTTGGTTTACTCAAAGCATATAAACTGATGAATATTTCAATGTCATGAAAAACTAGCTGGAGGTAAATGATGTTTAAAGTGTAGATTGTTAAAGCAACACCATTGGAAGAAGCGAAGCAACAACTAAACTAATGCCAACTCCACAGGAATCCTGTCGATCATTTAATTTGACTGTTTTTTCAGCTGTGTTGTTAAAGTTTTCACTCATCCATTCAAAGTAAAGACAAGTGATCTGTGTTTTACTCAAGATCATTCTTCAGTGCACATGTTCGTTTACTTACATCACAAACCTTACTTACAACTGAACACAAAGATCCTGTTTTCTTCTGTTTACACAGAAGTACACCTTAAAAAATATATCCTGTCCGGAGTGTCTCGTGGAGGTTAAGAAATGTTTTGAATGAAAGCGTACTTTAGTAATAGCAACGGTCTGTTGTGTCGTAGAAAAACATCTTATTTTATAAAATTTCACAAGCTCTCCGTAAAATTATCTTTTGTTTCAATCTCCTCTTTCATTTAAGGATAAAAAAATAAAAAAAAAAAATAAAAAAATTAAACTTCAGGGAATTGCCAGAATTTTTTTATTTAATCCTTTTTTTTGATATGATTCCCGAATGGCTCCTTAACTTTGCTGCCCTTTCACTTGCCTTACAACTGCCCTGAAAATTCTTAGGCCTTGACCAGTTTTGGAAAAAAAATAAAAGCGAATGAAAGTATTTTACGATATCAGTCGGCTGTCTATAAAACCGAATCGCCGCATCAGATCACAGCTCTAAGTAAAAGAATCGCTGCAGTTCGCCACTCTTTCAATCCATTTCTGTTTGGCAGAACTTGAAACATTTAGTACATACTTAAGCATGTTAAGCGTCTAAAGCGCGCTCTTATTTGCTACTCAAACCACACATATCCTTTGCTATTCACCTCCGAGCAACTCACGCGGGATTTGCACCCGAAAATAGTTGTCACATGAATAAATGAGTTTAAAACAACTATTGGTGATAAATTTACACCGCTCATCTCTACCCAACTCCTTATGAAGAAAAACGTTTCCCAAAGTCGTTATCCTAGGTAGGAGTCGGGTAAGTCCTTTGATTTTGAGAAGACTCAAGAGTTTTTCTATCTGTCATGTTTAATCTGGACGTCAGATCAGGAAAGTATCCGGTTAAAGCAAACTCTTTTTAACATGGCCTTAAGAAAAGGGATACGATGAAGTGTCATAGAAGAACAAACAATTCGAATCAAGATTTGCACAATTTGATGATGTACATTAAAAATCTGTTGATCTCTCTATATCACGGTAGTTGGATTCTCACACTTGTACTTACTTGCGGTATATATATCATTAAGTTGAACTGGCTTATTCTTCAGTGATTTTAAAGGCTTCGTCCTTCACTATCGAATATATCAAAAGAAACAAACCGCGGGGTTATTTATAATTCTGCTAATACAATCCCTAATAATACTTCAATAAAAAAGGTTATATTGATATTTTCCTGTTCTGTTTGTCAATAAAATCGCACGGATATCTGTCAATACACTGGAGCTATTCTGAATAAATCAACTTGTATTTACTTCTACTTCATAGAAAAAAAAATGGATGGTAACATTACCTTGAACGCCACAGATTCACCAAACTGTGGGATACCCAACTCGTCTCCACTCATACCCATTTGTCAACTGTTGGCATACACAACCCTTTTTATCATGTCCATAATTGGTAACAGTATCCTCATCGGTGCCATCGTCAACTATCCTCGAACACAGACGATCATTAACTACTTTATCATTAACATGGCAGTCTCTGACCTTTTGACATCCGTGTTCGACATGGCGGTGCAGATTTGGCATTACGGTTTGTTGATAGCGGACAAGCAATTTGAATGGTTCGGCGGTGTTTTTGGAGAGTTCATGTGCAAGTTTGTCGTGTTCATTCAAGGAGCAGCGCAAGCCTGTACCATTTTCACCTTAGCTGCTATCGCTATCAACAGATTTCGTGCAGTGATGTTTCCAATGCGTCATGCAGCAAGTAAAACCTCAGTGGTTATGATTCTGCTGCTTATTTGGGGATCGTCCTTCGCTATTGCATCGCCAATGCTCTACGCTATGCGACTTCACGAAGAGCAAGGTGCCTTTTATTGCAGTGAGAATTGGGAGCCTTTGTTCGACGAAGCGTCATCGCCGAGGCATTACACTCTGGTTTTGTTTGGATCACTTTACGTCGCACCTCTCCTGATAATAGCAATTCTTTACTCAGTTATCGCATTTAAACTGTGGGTAAGAACAGTTCCAGGAAATGTTACAGCACCGAACCTACTGCTGGAGCTCGAGACAAGAAGGAAAATACTGAAGATTTGTATGACAGTGGTTTTTGTGTTTACACTTTGTTGGCTACCGTTCTATATTTACCTTATGATTCATTTTAATTCCGCGAATAACAGTAAATGTTATCCCCCAGAATACGTAGCTTTCTTGGGGCTCTTTTTTGGCGACGCAAACAGTTCTATCAACCCGTTTATCTACATCATATTTAACAGTGAATACCAGAAAGGGATGAAAAAAGTCCTCAAGCGCTGTTGCACTCCTTGCAAATCGAATAAAATGCATATGTACTCCAGTAGAAGTACATTGATCAGCTATCCATCCCTTCGGACCTTTAGAGAAATAGAATTAGGCCCAATGGGACAAAGTCTGCACCATACCAACACCGGATTTAAGTTCACGTGAGAAAATCAATCGGTGAATATTTGGGAATGCATGATAACCATCCTGACACATTATTTTCTAACCCGCAGATCAGTTGACAGTTTCGCGCTCCCCCCTTAAGCCATGCGAGGTAAAAAAAAGACATGATGGAGAGTTTCACTTGATGTAAATTACATTTGCTGCGCGCGAAAAGTTTACGTCCCAGCTTTCACATAAATGGCAAGCAACTTACCTCCCTCAAATCATAGGGGGCAGTTTTTAAGACGCTTGCCGACGACTGGATCAGTTGTGAGTTCTCGCAAGAATACACAAACAAACCGCTCCCTTGAGAATAGCGCTAGAAATAAAATCATATTCGAATCGATGACATAAACATAATTTAAAAAAGGATACTCCTTTGCAGAGATGAATTTTATATAAAAAAAATTTGATCTTCGTTCGCTTGTCATGGAAACGAATCCCATGAAAACAATCTGACCCAAAATAATTATATGGCACCGAATTGTACAGAGACCTTTGTTTTCACCAATCCGAGAACATTATCGTAAATTTAGGCTTGTGTTACGTAATGAGCACACTTATTCATCTACTCTTTTTGAAAATGTTTGTAACTGTGTTTTAGTTACTAATTTTATTTCGAACCACATTGCACTAATTACAAGTTAGTTTACACTAATATTATAGGGTCTTACAGCGCAAACTAAGAAAAACAAACTACCACCAGTTTATGGAATCTATTAGTGTCTAAAATCATTAGTTTCCATCCCAGAGATATAGCATGACATTTGACGTGGCCTATGTTAAGGTTCTTCTTTGTTTTCCTATTGTAATGCAGCCGACCAAATGAATATCAGCTGACCTAGAAATTTTAATGAAAAATGAAATGTATTTATTTTGGCTGTTAAGCTTAATTGTTAATCAATTTCATCTCGTCATTAAAATGTTCTTCTGTAGTCTCCACTGTTTCATGTAGGCAATAGCTCTTACGCATATTTACATCAAATGAATCCCTTATTTTCACGGCAAGCCTCGACAGGTAATCAGTACAAACTGGTATATTTCATGGATAAAGTATCAAATATCTGAGATTTAAAATAAGATTGAAAGATTGAAAACAAAGGGGGAATGGAAATAGATCCACAGCTTTGCTATTAGAAAGAAGTTTTCTAGACAGACATTTCTTCTGCTTTGATAGTTCAGCGTTGTAAAATATTTATGTGAGATCTCCAAAATAACGGTTGGAACAATAAAGGCTCAAAGGAGGTGAAAGCTCCAATTTCCCTCCGCCTCATGGGATCTACAATTGCACATTTGCCTAGAAAGCTCTCGTATCTTATAGTTTATTTGCATGAATGAGAGATAAACTCTCCCCCTAATATGAGGTCTAGTTTCTGGAAGCCATATAGAAAACAGTGAAGCACGAGGTCTGGCGGGAGTTAGTTGAGGATCTGGGGGCTAGAAATTTCCAGTGACCTTAAGAATTACCATGAAATGAGCAAAGTTCACTTATCATTTCCCGAAAGCGATCAGACTTCATCTAATTTTTCAAATGTTGCGAGAAACTTGAATCACGATAGAAATCGTGTGAGCTAATCATAAGTTTTAAATATGCTCCTAATTTACTTATGTAAAAGTACTTATTAAGTGTGGGAGATTCTAGCGAATTTCCATCTGTGGAGTTAAGTTGCTTGTACTAAACTGTATTTTGGATTGTTATGCAGGAATAAAATTACATTCCGGGAGGTGTGAGGTGGAATGTCAACAAGTGAATGGCACAAAATCATTTCAGAGTGCTTATAATTCATTCAATTCATTGGTGGAGCTGCAAGTTGAAGTTGCACTAGTCGTCAATCTTCTTAAATTTTGTCAGGCTAAGACTACTTTGACCATTGTGTTTTACAGAGAAGCTTATCCCGCTAACATCCATGGTCTGACGGTGCACACGAGGAACGTCAGAAGTAAAGCAGGGGAGGCAGTGGCAGAGAGCTTTGAAACCGTTTCTAAAATCCTGGCTAAATACAATGAAGATAATTGGATTTATCACACAGTTACCACAGGCCAGAAAGAGTGCCAGGAATCGACGAGTAGGAGTTAACACGCAGGGAGAATGGCTGTAGAGTCCCACCATGACATTTATTTTAACCGGAAGCCAGAATAATGCGAACGTAAGAACAGCTGTGATGAGCATTTTGAGGACGTTCTTTTTGGCTTTGAGTTCTACTTGTTGATTGGCCGTCGTCACGTGCCCTGGAATCCTTCGCATCCATATCCTGTAGATGATGGCGATGTAAAGAATGATGATTTCCAACAAAGGCAAGCCATAAAACATGATGAAATCGGCTGTCGTGTAGATTGTGTTATAGTACCTTGGGATGGCTGGTTCCCATATCTCCATACAGTACACAGTTCCGTTGTAATCAACGAGGTCATTGACATAAAGAAAGATGCAACCTGGTAACGCCGGGATAAGCCATGCCAAAAAGATAAGCTGGATCGCTCTTCGGGAATGAATTAGTCTCTTCAGGGGAAAAAATATGGCAATAAATCGATCAGCAGCAATCAGTGCGAGCGTCAAGATGGCGGAGTTTATTGTACAAGACGTAAGAAATGCTTGCAGCTTGCAAAGAATCTTACCAGGCCAACCTGTAAAGAATGCACAGAAAGTGTTAAAGAACTAACAAAGGTGAAGTGATAGGGTCGGAAGGGGGAGGGAGGGAGGGAGAGAGGGAGGGAGGGGGATGTCGAACCTTTGAATTGATCGGCGCATTATGACACCATAATGAAATCATCCACAAGTGTAGATAACACAATTGCGCTTTCAAAAAGCTTGGAACTACCACAGGAAGCTCATCGTATAGGACTCTCGCGTCTTGGAAAAAAAATCACCAAAAAACAAGGAAAATTTATATTCACCGCCATTTATCTAAATCGAAAAACACAGAGAAGAATTCTTACCAGTAACCGCAAATCCTAGTTGAGGTGCAATTCTTCCCGAGATGTCCGGCAGTGTGTTGTGTAACAAGATCAACAGATTCACTGCGCACAAATTTACGATGAAATAGTTTGTTGGAGTGTGCATGCTCCTTTTTTTCTTAATAATGGTGATCACGACAGTATTGCCAATAATCGAGAAAAATACAACGACCAGAAATGAAGATACTTGGAACCATATCTCTACAGGTGTGAACGGTCTGCTGGTGCAGCCAGAGGGCAGTGGAGATGATTCTGTCGTATTGGAACTTGTGCTGTTCGTCATTCTTTTGACGCTATTCGCACTGGAATAATTCAATCACTCAATTTCCATCTACAGAGAATCGTATAAAATACGAAATGAAATGACAAGTATTAGTGTTTTGTTTCCAGTAATTTCTTTGAAATAGATCCTGAACGAAGAATTTGGTTAAAGGTCACCTAAACTTCTATTCGTTATAAGGTCTTGAATCCACAAGAGGAAAGAGGGGTTCCCTGCCCTCATTAAAAAGCAAAAGCTCTTTATATATACACATTACTTTCTCATGATGGCATTTAGCTTCGGACGGTTACAAGTGCTTCACGCTTAATCGAACGATTTTTCCAAGGATTGTTTTATACTGAGCACTGGGAAGTCATCTACACTCCTTTAAAAAAAGGCAGTTGTACATGTTGCTTAATCAAAGGAAGAAATAGAATTGGTCAACAGACTCTCTCCTAAGAAAGGAAGTCGTTGCTTAGTGAAATATAAAAAATGGAATAGGCCAACATACTCTGTCCTACGAAAAATTAAATCGATTGGAAAAAATACGGAATAGGTTAACATACTTTCCCCCACGAAAGGAAGTGGTTGCTTAATGAACTGAAAAAAATAGATTAGGTCAACATACTCTCTCCTACGATAGGAAGTTGTTGCTTGATCAACTGCATAAAATAGAGTAGATCAACATAGTCTCTCCGAAAGCAGTTGCGTATTGGTTGATTGGAATATATTCACCTCTCTTTCTAAAATGAAAGTTAGAATGTAGATTAAAATTAAAGGGGAATATTTGCTTTGATATACAGTAAGTTATCAATTTTTTGTGACTGAAAAACAATTGTACAGTCTATCATATTAAAAAAGATACGCTCTATTAAAGAAGTGTTCCTATGCAGCAGCTTGCCTATCTCCTACTTTCGACGCCATTTTTGAAACACTGATTAACAGGATCATTTAAAAAGATATGTTTGGCACACTAGTCAGCAGACTGATTAAGCAACCCCACTTAAGCTACGACAAAAGCCAATTCTTCCCACACAAAAACCAAAACGTTTAGGGTAGGAAGATATACAGTTACTTTGTTTGTAACTCATGCAGTAAATTAATTTAAAATGCTCGGCCAGCACAGGAAGCATTGGCTGACAGCTGGTCAAATGAACAGGCTTCATCTAGAGAACGAATTTGACCGAAGTGTCACTCTAATTGATATGTGTTTGCGAAGATCAAACTTTTCCCTGCACCCTTTTCGATGATATTGATACTTTGCTAATGCAGAAAAAAAGCGAGCACTCAATAAAAATCATGGAAGGTATAAAGCCGAGAGTCAGAAAAACCTGGCTATGTTTAGGTTCAAGTTGATCTAAAGAACGTCAAGTTGTAAGTTTCTGCTCTTCACGGCTCGTGGTGTTGTTCAGCTTATAAAGCCAATGACTTGTAGAGGGAAAACAGAAAAAAATTACCTCTGATCAACAACCAAATTCACCCCAAAACACGAATGTATAATCGCTACCGAAATCTGCCCAGTGATTTGATGCAGCCTCGAAATACCGGATATTGACACCGTAGATACTAATTACAGTAACATCTAAAAGAAAGTGGAAACGTATCATATACGCTTAAACCATAATTTGCAAGTATAACTATGTTCTAGTTGATCCCTCAAACACGTGCATTGATCCCTTTTAGTTTCGACCAATGAATGATGCTTACTTCTTGACGTTGTCGGTCCTTATCAGTATTCAATTTCTTAGTGTTGTATACCATTCCGCTGGTAATTTCCTGAAATGTAATTGACTGGGTAATCATAATTCAATTTGGGTTTAGTTTCGTAAGAGGCTTTTGTGATGTTTCCTGCACTAATTAAAACAGGATGAATAAGATCTGTATGTTTGTTGAAATTCCCTTTTTGAGCCATGGCGTTCAAATGGTGAAAATAAGGGCTATTATCATTATCTTTGATTCTCGCAGAACTTTTTGGAAAGCCCTTGTTTCTAAGAATTTAAGATTAAAGTCATTCTAGGTCTACCGACCAAAACTCTAAAAAAGGCGTATTAGAAAAATGCTTCTGCTATAACTCCGGATGTCATTTTTAGTTCAAAATCATTTGTGTAAAATGGACTTGTGAGATTGTTTGCGCATACGTCTCTAAAAGTTTGGCGTGCATTTTTTTCGAATGGTTCTCTTACCCGTGTTAGGATATCATCGCTCCTAATCATTCTTTGATTTCTCCTTTTCAGTTTCTTCTTTTGGCAGAAAAAGCTACTTGGCCAGTAGTAATTACTATTTGTAAGACAACGACAGGATTTCATATAGATTTGATTTCCGTGACTAATTTGACTGGCCTTGAGCAAACTTTCCATAAAAAGCCTCTGAATATATTACATTTGCATTAGGGAAAATTCCTACGATAACGTTATGCCCAGGAGAGAGCAAGAATGATATACTGTGTCCACCCTTCGATAATGGCGACGAGAAAATTGATTGAATTGTTTTTTTTTTTATTTTTTGGAATTTTGAAGCTCAGTTTTTCTCTCTGAGCTTGAGTTTAAAGATTCTGAAACAAGAGAAACAACTAACTCAGTATAGAAAACACAGGCTGTGATGAACTACGATGTGACACAAATTGCAAACGACAAACCTGAAAAGTGAAGAGTAAATTTGTAAAGGCGATGTTGTCGCTTTTCAGCGTGAGTGATTTTACACGCTATTCAACACCAATTGGAAACAACTGGAATCACTAATAAATTGGACGAGCTATTTAGTTCAATCTTTTTTTGCATTTTAAGCAGCTACTCGTCACGTTCAGGCCTTTGAAGTCTCTAGAAATGATGAATTTTCAGGACGTTGCCATATTCAATTTAATATCGTATCTTAGTGGATACTTGTTTATACGTAAAAGCCATTAAAAGGCTTCCCATCTGCCAAAATCATCAACGACCATTTTGTTACCTACTGCTGAACGGCGTGACGAAATGCTTGGAAACTTGTTCAAGCAGTCCCCACTCTCCTGGGGACCATTGTGTAGCATCACAAATCAAAACAGGAAGTTAACTTTGAAAATATTTTTTGGCTCATATTTTGCATAAATAGAGTATTTGAGCAGTTAATCATTAGGTTTAGTGGACATATGACAAAATACTTACACATTTTCGTCGGCAGTAGTCCCAAAATTAATTGTTACCAATGTTTTTGGCATGCATGTTATTGAGATTCTTGTGTTAATTGGCTGTCTTTAGTTGCATATTCCATCACTGAAATTCCCGAGATTTTGGCGTCGAAACGTTTTTCGTGAATGGCATCGTACTGACAACAAAACATACAGCAACACAATGGCGAAAACCATTATGATCACCAGCATACACTTTTCTCGTTTATCAGCCATTCATTTCAAATTTTGAAGTGTCAAACCAAAACTTATATCCACGCTAAAGTGTAGAAATGATGAAAAAAACTTTTTTGTGTCATCGATATAATGAAACTAAACCCGTCAAAATATGCCTGGCAAGGGAATTTCGAGTCAAGTTAAAATCAATTTGACCCTTTTTAAAGATTCCCCTGATTAACTGGTGCTGGCAGATTGTATGTGATCTATTTCCTAAAAACGTGAACATTTTCATTTTTTGACAAGCCTAAGTATTACCAAAAACTCGAATCCAATTGGACTGACATCGGCAGAAGCTGCATTAGGCTCCACAGCGCATATTTGTGTAAAGATAAAGGGATTACAAGACGGAACTGACGACAATATCATGATAAGTGAATCACCCCTCATAAATGACGTACAATGTCTTCCAATTCCTGATTTCCTACATTTTTTGCTTCAGCATAGCAATAACAAGATTGATCGTTGGGAATAAATGCCATTCGCAACTTCATGAAAACGTTCCTCACTACGCAATAGTCGATAAATCTTCTTAAAGAAGAACCTGTATTTCTCAATCGAGTTAAGTGTTGGTTTTTTAAAGATAAACCGGTAGCAGTTATCGTTTTTAAAGGCGAGACTAGCCCATCGTCGCTCTGACAAACTCACTGAGACAGGATCGCCGACAACAGAGCCCGCCACGTATTAGAGGTTAGACAAACTCATTTGTAAACTATTTTTGTACTCGTTTTGCTATAAATAACCAAAGCAAGTAAGAAACGGCGAAGAAAAAAGGAATCTTCTTGTAAAATTTAATCAAATTGAATGCAAAATTAGAATTCAGGGTTCCTCTGTGCGGTAATAATTTATTGCAGCTGTAAAGCCAAAGGTCTGACAAACTTAACTTTGATAATGTGTTTGAGCAAAGGTTGTCTCTCGTCTAGATGTTGCGATGGATTATAGTTGTAGAGTTACTTATTACTGAATCAATAGAATAGGATTGTAAAAGATGTAGGTAAACTTGCGAACGCGTAAAAAAATGATTTCTCAGCCAGACAAAAAAGAAGTTTCACCATGCTAAAAATGCATAGAACTTAAATATTCAAACATTGTCATTTAAAAGTCAGACCCTCATTATCAGCTATATGTTAATGACTCGGGTTCTCGATACCTTGATAATGTCTTTTCCAGTCTTTATTTACTGTAAATGAAATGATGTTTGTTTCTCATGGTTCAAGTCCATTATGGAGGATGCTTCGTGTAAAATTATCTTGACAACTTGAATTTTGCCTTAGTGCGTTGAAATCCAGTAAAAAAATGCGCATGCGTCAACTTCAGAACCTCGTAATGTTGCACAACTATCGAAATAGAACAACTACCATAGAATATCAAGGGCAAATTTTACTCACCTTAGCTTGAACAATACGTTTTTGACATTTTCAGCAATGCACAACATAAGGATATTTCAGTTCCAATTAAGGTCTAGCACTATATGCTATTTACAAACATTTTGTTGGTCCAATATCATCTGTAAACATACCAAATAGTTAATCTCCTGAACTCCTTTTAAAATATACTTTGAAAATAAAAAAGTGGCAAAAGTAATCAGATTAATGTTTACGCTTCGTTTGCTGAGAAATTTGTTTCTAGCACGAACTGTACCCTCAAAATAAGAGGAAAAAAAACTTCATTAAACTGTTGGTTTTTCAATCGGAGAATATACGCAAAGGAGATATATTCTTTATGCCCTTACCCTTTAAATTCTTTAGACATATGGATAAATTTTTGTAAACTCGTCCTCTTCAGTTTTAGTTAAAATCCTTTTGCCTTCTTCGTCCAAAACCGAATAATTGGATGAAATAATCTTTTTGGTTATCCAACCTAAGAATTCATAGAATATTTTTCCTTACCTTAAAGTTATTTCAGAACTTCTTTCATCGATTCATATCTGGCAGAACTAACCAATTTATACATAATGAACTACCACTGAAATCAGAATAGATCTCAAAAGTGGATATGTTTCTCACCCACAGTGAAGTTTAAAAAGTTTGATCTCATCTAGCAATACACCACACAGTGGTTGGTGTAGAGTGCACCATTTGTTCGAGCTAGTTTAAATTGTTTCGATGATTCCCGCTGCTATTTTTCATTTTCCGGCCGATGGTCCTCTGCAGAGAGCGGAGCATATATTTGGTAACACAAAGTGGTTGATTAATTTGTCATTTTGAAAACAAAGGCTGCAGGTGTATTTTTCTCACACAAAATATAGATGAGCAATTAGTGCATTCAGTAGGAAATTATTTTATTGTCCTATTGCGTAGCAGGAGACGTAAAACATCCACACCAATGAACAAAACGAACAATTTTTTAGGGATGTCATGAACCAACTCTGCTGTATAAATCACCAATGTCATCAGTTGACTCGCGATGTCGACCTCGAAGAATAGTAGTATATTGCGCCTGTATGGCACCATTACATATTCATGTTTTCATAAGTAACTATTCATACCGTGTAGGTGTACGAGGGGTTTTAAGGTTAGGGTTAGGGTTAGGGTTAAATTTTGCGTAGGTGTACGAGGGGTTATTAGGGTTAGGGTTTTTAAAATTTAATGGTTTTCTCAAAACAATGGGAACAAAAGAATCCAAGATGGAATGTGTTGAAGGAATATAAAAAACATACTGAGAATGGAACAATCCCCAAAAGATTGAAATGAAGGAAACGTTACCCTAAGATGCAAAGTGCTGAAGCTCAGAAACGTGTCAATGAAACATACCATCAAGTAGAATATACGGTCTTAGATCAGGCGATTCAAGAGATTGAAAAGAATCTTGCCGCACACAAAGAAAAATATCAATCCTTGCTACAACAGCGACAAAGTGAGCGACAAGTACCGGAAGGCAGGAAAGAAAAGACACCCAAGATATCTCACCAGACACAGGTAAAAACTGAATTGATCGAATTATAGAAAAAATACCATCAACTCTGTGCCAAGTTAGACACATTCTCAAAATCTAGCGAGAACAAAGATACCTTACACACGGGAAAAGAAGGTGTTAGTGGTGTTTGAGGCGGTGATACGTTAGGGAAAGTGGTGAGACTAATACATAAAAAGCACAGAACCTTACATTTTTTCATTAGTATCGCTGTGACACGAAATGGGAGTCGTTTTACCTTGATAAACTTCTGATCGGATAATGCCACACCTTTGCCGCTGCTGCAATAGAGCATTCACGCGTTCGGATAACAAAGAGCGTCACGAGAAAAGTTCATGAGTGAACTCAAGGGTCAATCCAAGTCAATGGTTCCCTTCAACTGTGGATACCCATTCCATTCCATCCGTGACTACAGACCCTAACTCTAAAACCCCTCGTACACCTACACGGTATGAATAATTACTTATGAATATATGAATATGTAATGAGGCCATACAGGCGCAATATACTACTAAGAATTCTCCTCTAAACTACTATTATTAAGAAAAAACTAACGTTCAAAGATTGTTTGTATCGATGTGTATACTTCTATAAATGCCATTCTTCTTGCAGGGAATGAGCATTACGCCATCTAATTTAGCAGTATGACTTAGTATAATGATGTGTCTCGAAGATACTGACACGTTGTTAAGGTTGAATTAATCTCATAATCATGTGTGCAGGAAAAGCAGTTAAGCAGTGAAAAAGTCGTGATCATTAACTGCTGGCGAATCTGGCAGTAAACGTTCATTTATATTCTTAACCCCGGTGAATAATAAACGTACTTCCCATAAAGAGGGGGGCACTGAGGTCTATTAAAAACCACAAAACCGTAGAGAATATCAACCAAAACCGCAAGAAACTTCGATCAAAACCGGAAACCGTATGCAAAACTATAAAAACCGAAACATTTTCAAATCCAAATTATCAAAACCCTAATCGATCCGATACAGAGGTGACAAGAGAAGCATAAAGAGGCTTCACAGCTGTTCGAGATCAGACTGGAGCCTAAATAGGAAAAACTGAAAACCAAATGCTTAAAAACAGAAAATCCGCAAACCGCAATGAACACCAAAATCGAAAAACCGATGCTTTTTGGCGCAAAAACCGTAAAACCGATCTGAAAAGTAGCCAAACCACAAAACCAGAAATCCCAATGCCCCCTTCCAAGTTAGATACTTTTCAGAAAATCCCAGTTAAAGATAAATCATCAATCTTTAGTTGTATATTGCAATATAATCATTCTGTTACCAAACCGCCACGTTCGGGTTAAATGACGTAATTTTTACGTTTCAAAAAGGGCGTATTATAAATTGTAAAACGTAATATTCACAGAATTTTTATTTGCTTTTCGGAAAAAAACGGTGACACTATTTACTAGGAATACAATCCTAAGATCAACCTCGGGAAGCTTCAGTCAATTGATTGCTATTTCTTAATTCGCTACAGTAAATGCATTCGAATGACATTGGATTTTGTCAGACATTTAAGAATAAATATTAGCGAGAAAAACACAAAACGTTTCGATGACTCCAGGTCATCATTCTCAAGTGAGAAGAAAATAAAAATGAATAGTTAATTTATACCATACGAAGGTGACAAACGTAAAAAGTTAAAATTTTTTTTTTAAAAAATTTAAATAAATAATTGCGCGTGTTGAGTTCATAAATGTAAACTATTAAATAAATAGTTTCGCACGTATGGAATCCGATTGTTTGTTCAAAGTGGGCTTCATCTTCTTTATGAAAAGCATTTCATGAACTGAACAGTCCAGTTTCCCGGTGCACTTTTTAAGTACGTCGAAATGCTTGGTCAGGTCGCGGATGGTTTGTAGGGCGTGGTCGTTCTTGAGATGTTTGCCGATGGCTGAATTACGGTGCTCATAAGACACCCTAAGACACACAAAGAGAATCTATCGATGAGACCTATCCTATCTGCCACCGGCACTTACAAATATGCCCTCGCCAAGTGGCTTGATGACAAACTGAAGCCCCTGTCAAGTAATCGCTACACAATATCAGATACCTTCTCCTTCGCCGATGAGATTCAAAACCTAGTCATCGACGAGAATGACATTCTGGTATCCTATGACGTCACGTCACTATTCACTAATGTGCCGCTTCAAGAAACGATCGAAATCATCGCTGAGAAGACGTTCGCTGACAACTGGTTTAATGCTACACACGACCTCAGCATTACAAAGCCTAAACTGGTTCAACTTCTGGAAGTTGCAACTATGAATCAACTATTCCAATTTGATGGCAATCTTTACGAGCAGATCGACGGTGTGGCCATGGGTTCTCCATTGGGCCCACTTATGGCAAACGCATTTCTCTGTTCCATCGAAGAAAAACTAGATCAAGACCACAAGCTCCCTGAATTTTACAGAAGGTACGTGGATGACACGTTTGCTATTGTCACAAGTGTACCAGCGGCAGAAGATTTATTATCAACGCTAAATAACTGCCATCCGTCCATACACTTCACCATGGAGCTAGCATCTGGAAACAAGTTCCTTTTTGTCGGTATGAAAGTGCTCAAGAAAGGCTGTAAACTAGAAACTAGTGTTTATCAGAAACCAACAAACACAGGCCTACTGCTTCATTACCAGAGCCACGTCGATAAAAGGTAAAAGAAATCACTACCCAAGACCATGTTTAATCGTGCATTCCGCCTGTCGTCCACATGGGAGTCCTTCAAATCTGAATGTGATCATCTAAAGATGATGTTTACAAACCTCAAGTATCCCGACCACCTCATCAATTCCACCATCTCTCACTTTGTCACCTCAGTTAGGTCGGAAAACCCTGGAGTGCAAGCTCAATTATCCATCAACGAAAATGCTGTTCACCGAGTGGTTTTGCCTTTTAAAGATCAAAAGTCAGCTGACGCAGTGAAAAGGCAATTATCAGATCTAAGCAACAAAATCGATCACACCCTTCAACCCGTGTTAGAGAGTCGCAAAATCTGTGAAGATCTCAGAATGCGTGAGCCTAAACCTCCTATAGTTAGCCAACAATGCGTTGTATATAATTATAAATGTGATCTGTGCGATGCAGAGTACGTCGGGTACACCAGCCGGCATTTACATCAACGTATTGATAAGCACCGTAGTTCGGCCATNTTATTATTATTATTATTATTATTATTATATTGTTACAAATATATATAGGTATGTGTAATGTTTTTCTTTTTTGGGTGGCCTTTTGTAAGGGAACCCTTTCCTGTTCCTTGGCCTTCCCTCAGCCTTGTATATATGTTAAGCTTGTTGAGAAAATGATTAAAGTAAATTGGCCACCGTAATGATTACGAAATCTGACGTTTCGAGCGTTAGCCCTTCGTCGGAGCGAATGTCAAACTGTATTAGTTAATCTACTCGCCGTTGTATTTCACAATTACACTGCCAACCCTAAATTTATTTACTTACCTAAAAGCTGGCGAAACGCGACTTAAGGAGACCTTTTGAATCTGCATCTTTCTTGATTTGCATTTGCACTATCCACTCGGCTCTCGGTGGAAGTTTAATCATGTCAATAATTCACCCTCGCTCATCTGCAGAGATATTGACAATAAACAAATTGAAGTAAAAAAAGGAAACGCACAACTTAATTCTCCTTCCCATCTTCCTCCGCGTTCTTTGTCTGCTTTCTCTCCCCGGGCCCCTCAGACGGCCCACGGGTACGAAGAAAAAAGCACATAGAGGTGCATGCCGTGTTTTTTGGAAGACTTCCACAAATGCCGTGTCTTCTAAATTAATATAAGTCGTAGACTCGATGACGTTATGTATTCGTTAAGATATCTCTGAAGTCCCACCAACTTATCTCAAAATATATGCACTTGTTGTATTTTGCCAAAGCGTACCAACGAAAGCCCTGTTCAACCTGTTTCAACACTAAGCTAACTATATGTTAACTATATGTGAAAAAATGAACCCTGGAAATTGCACTCCTGAATTATTTTCTGCTCCGCCTCTTGTGAGACTGTTAACCTGAATAACTCGGTCCTAAAATTGACCCAATATTGACCTAATACTGACCCAATATTAACCCGGCAGCTCAACCAGCCTCGCCTCAACTTAATGTTTTCACTAGTTTAGCACCCAACCAGACCTCTTTCCATCCTAAAACCCGACAAATCAACCCTGTTTCGATATTGCAAGCAGACGCTCAGGTCTCAAACGCAGCCGGCAAACCAATTTCTCTAAGGTACTTTGGCCATCCTGATGATTACTTTGTTAAAACAGTCTATACTCACTTCTCCGGAAAATTTGCGAATCCCGTTCCAGTACGGCTCCGACTTCACTTACAGAGCGAAGTCTAACAACAACAAAAATATGAAACATATGTATAAACTGCGGTTATGAAACGTATATGTGCACGATCCTTCGCAGTAAAGCACGATTTGAGCAATAGTGAAAATCAGACCTGAAAAAAATTTCAGGCCTGTACGGGATTCGAACCACTGACCTCTGCGATACTAGTGCAGCGCTCTACCAATTGAGCTAACAAGCCAACTGGGAGCAGGCCATCAAATTAATTCGACATAAACCCGTAGATGAGAGAAGAAGAGCGAAGTCTACCCTGAAGCTGTGCCAGTCATGGTCTGATAATTATGCGTTCATCCCGTTCTAACATGGAAACAACATTAGGGAATTTACGAACCAGAACGCGACGCAGCCTGAAACGTCACCGGAAGTAATTTGCTCACAAAGTGCTTCACTGCGCATGCTTGGCGCTAAACTGCAACGCGTCTTCTTCAC